AGGATAGAGGAAGGAGTATAGAGAGGGATAATTAACACTAAAGGCCTTTTGAAAGTCATATGGAAGCCCACTATTATAGAAACTATAGAGTTTAAATGACATTACCCTATACCTATAACAGGAGAACAATATCATGGCACCATAGGCTAGCAAATAAAAAACCAAATATCAGAAATGGGCTCCTTCATTTGGAGTTGTTCACCAGGGAAGTCCCACAGACCTATAAATGATACTGGCTATTGGCATTGCTCTTGGTTGTCCTCCAGAACTTAACAGTAAGATCTTATTGCTGAAGAAACTACATATGTGAGTTGTAGAACAAACATGGAGAAATCAAGCTGATATTGACCTCAAAGCTTCATCTGTAACTGGCTAGCTTTCACAGTACTGGAAGGTGCTATGCATGTACCAGGGGGAAAAAGGAATTATAACCTTACCCAGCTGTGAACCCTGCAAGCTACAATAATGACTGGCCTGGCAAGATATGTCCACTGGCACAATAGTAGCATGAATGTTATGGGAGTAACCAAACACTTTCTATTTCACAAGATGAAGCCCATATGTAGCATCATTATCAGGGCCACGGACCTGTGGCTAGACAGGTCACAAGCCATGGGGAGAACTTGCTACTATTATCCTGCTAAATGGATGCAGTATTAAACTGACCCCTAATGATGAATGGTTATACCCATAGATAAATGCATCTCTTAACTTTCACCAGAGAAGCTTCTTCTTGCAGCAGATAGCAATTAACGTAGAAACCCACAAATGATCAACATGTGAAAAATAAGAGACTTCAGAGTGCTCAGCCCTAAATGGAACGCCTATCTCACACTCTCCTCCCGAGACTCAGGGATCATTGTGGAAGAAAGAATAGAAAGACTGTATTAGCTAGACGTGGTAAATGATTACAAGGAAACTGTTTTCCAGGCATAACAGGGCAGTTCTACATATGAACCCACAGTGCTTGTGACAGCATGCACAAGACCTGCACAAGCCCGAGCCAGACAAAAACCTACCATGGAAGAGGAAGACAGGCAAGAAGCCCCAGTCTTAGCTGAGGAATTATGCATTGATAGCTGCTAGGAGAGGGAGACTCGGGTTTTCTTGAAGAGTATGATGTCAGGCAGATTGATCAGGTGCCATCCACACCCAAGCACATTTGAAGTACACAAATTAGACTTTTCAGGTCTTAAAGAAACAATAGAGAAAGCCGGGCGTGGTGGCGCACACCTGTAGTCCCAGCACTTGGGAGGCAGAGGCAGGCAGATCTCTGAGTTCAAGGCCAGCCTGGTCTATATAGTGAGTTCCAGGACAGCTGGGGCTACAGGGAGACCCTGTCTCAAAAAGACAAAAATAAAAATAAAAAAAAGAAAGAAACAATAGAGGCCATGAAATGAGGGGGCATTGGGAGGTGGGGTAGATTTGAGCAGAGACAGGGGAGGAGTCTGAATATATTCAGAGTACATTGTATGAAATTCTCAAAGAATCAGTCAAAATATTATTTTTAAAATATTGTAAAACAAATGAAACATGAGATGGAATTGAACCAATTAAAGTTGAAACAAACAGACTTAAACTATTATAGTAAACTATTATCGAGGGGAAATAATTCTGATGATTTGGATTTAGAAAGAAACCCAGCAGCAATGCCAAAGTAAGAAGATACACACAAAATGAGGACAGTCACAGTCTTTTATACCATGAAATTTGAATTAATTATAAGGAAAACAAGTGTCTGAGTCTATACATTTCAGAACAACAAAGGCTTGATTCTTGTTTAATATTCTGATTCTTAGAGCTTCAAGAGAAAGGCCAAAGAGGAGAATTCAGATTTCAGAGAGCAGATGAACACATGTGCTGCTCTCTTGTCTCTGGAGATTCTGTTTGGTGCCAGGGTGTAAATAAGTCACATGCAGACTGACAGGAAAGAAGACGATCTGAGAATGCTAACAGAAAATGAGTGATTGAACTCCAAAGCATGAAGAAACATTAAAAGTATGCACATCAAAGAAAATGAGCAAAGAGAGCGGAAGGCCACAACATGCCCGCAGTGGGCTGCAGCTGCAGAAAAAGCCAGTCAGCCCTGCGGAAAGCTGAGCGACTGTGAATGAAGAAATGGCATATAAAAGGCCTTTATGTCAGAACTAGTCTATGCATCCAAACTGAGGGTTTGTTCTCAAAATCAACTGAGTAATAGTCTGCGGAGAAGGACGCAGCTGCAGGATACTACTCTCTCAGAGCACCTGTGTCTTCATGGGGCCACACACCTGGGTCAGCGGTTCTGTCCATCTGTACTGAATAGCCTGTCCCTGCCCTACTGCTTCATCCCATCTGAATAGAAAGAAAAGGTCTGCAAGACATTTGGAGGGGCGGATTCTGAGATAAGAAAAGAAGAGCCAAGATAAACAAGAAAACATGACCTAACAGAAACAGAAATTTTAGAGAACAGAAGAGCATTTTTAAATAAAAATCTTATAATTGGTAACTCTAGTAAGATTAAATATTGCATGCAGAAAACCAGAACAGAATACTCTAACAAAGAATACTTAGAATTGTAGAAACAACAATAGCATAAAAAAGTCCAACGACCATATGGGAAGAATAGAATGTGGCACAGTCTCAGGCTATAAGACAGAAAAACAAAGAAACAGCTTTGAAGAAGGTCTAGCATCTGACAAATACAGAGATGAGAGAAAACTAAAGAAAAAGAAGAAGAAATAAGCAAAAAGTAGAGTTTCTCAGAGCTGACAGGAGACGGAATCAACTGTTTAATCAACTTAAAAGAAAGACTGACCTTACGCTTTTACCAAATTTTCAGAACATAAAACAAGAATGCTTTTCAAATGTCTTCCTCAATGGAGTGAAAGCGTGAACGGCCACCTGACTTCTCAGAAGCAAGGCACGACTCCAGATGCAAAGTGGTTTCTAAGTTCTGTTGGTTAGCAATACTCCACCAAATTATCAAGAAAGACAAATGGGATAAAAAGATGTGGAGGCAGGCTTCTTTTTAAGAGGTGGTTTGAATTCTGTGCTCTGAATTGATATACACTTATACAGTGACGCTCTACAGCTTTTATTTAGATAGGTTTTGGTTATTTTGCTTTGAAAAAGAAAAACTCATATTTAGGAGGAAAATCTGCATATTCTTTCTCTCTCCATCTCCGTATGGTTGGAGAATGTGCTCTGGTCCTTCCACCACATGGCTTTGTATTCCCAGCCCACTTTGCCAGGGGTCTACACCTCCTTCACAAAGCCTAGTCAATCTCTCTCTCCCCCTTCTTTTGCCCGCTCTCTCTCTTCTTCCCTCCTTCCTTCCTTCTTTCTTCCTTTTCTCTTTCTTTTTAAATTTTTGTTCATTTGTTGAGACATAGTCTCTCTGTGTAACTCATGCATGCTTCAAAAATCACTATGCAGCTCTGGCTGGCCTTGAACTCATAATAATCCTTATTCCTCAGCCTCCCAAGAACTGGGATTAGTATCACAGGTGTGCACACACTCAAATCAAATGTTACACTCTTAGCTGTGCCCACTCGCACCCACCCACATCCTAAGGCAGGTCCCCATATCCTAAATCCTTTGTCCACTGTAGTTTATGATTCTAAGTTCCCTCCATGATACACTGATTGGTGTTTATGTTCCTCCCGCCACCCCCAACCCCCACTGTACACTCCAGGAACATATAGTGCTTTTCTTACTCACATAGCCCTAAGGTATAGCAAAGCAACTGGCAGAGGATAGGTATTCAACAATATTATAAATCATGAATGAGTACCCAAATGGAAAATGAGCACACTTTACAGAAGCTAAAAGAGACAGGTTCCTATTCTTCCAACCTAGGCACTCTCCTCTGACCCCACTCTTATTTCTTAAGTGGTAAGAATTTCTTAACAATCTGTTCTGAATATAGCAACAATCTGGTCTTATCTGTAGATGCTTACTCTGTGCTTTTTGAACAAACGCATGAATAACATTTATAGGCATCTGAAATAGCACCATGATACCAAGAGATGTTACTGAATGAATTCACAGTGAAAGGAAAAGAAGAGCGATACTTTGTTAGTTGAAAAAATTCTCAGAGAAATGAAAGGAGCCCACTAGAGGGAGCGAAAGCACGGCTGAGGAGTCTAGAGGCCCGTGGCTGGAGTCAGGCAAGGCAAGGGTTCCACAACACAAATGATTGTATGCAAAACTGCACTGCTGCCTCTTCTGAAAAGAGCATCGTTTCATCTGATGAAAGGTTGCGTGTAGCTCACTGTTGAGCTGTTCATGACATATGCAAGAGCCCTAGCTTCTTTGTTCACTTATAAGCCTATACCTCTGGACATTGTAGAATCAATTTAATGAGCCTCAAACATTTTAAACAAATGAAAGAGGATTTTTAAAGTATTCAATTACTCTCTTTCCAGCAAGCAGTAAAACTATTTTGCACATCTTTGGCTTCAGGGTTTTTTTTCCCACACCTATATGTCTAAGCTAGACTAGAAGATAAGATATACTTCTTCCTCTAGATCATGTTGATAAATTGAAAGTAAAGTCACTGCTATCAAGAACAGTTACTAGTAAGATAGGTTCCAAAGGCGAGCTAATCCTGGGTCTGAAATAAGGTAAAACCAGGATAAAATTTGTTTTTCTCTTCTATAAAATGAAGGCAATAATATCCCAGGAGTAACTCAAAGGCAGCAATAATCTGCACTGTATAAATATGTGAAGCAGTAATACAAAAAGACAACTAATGCTTATTGAGATCTTTCCACATTACAAGTACCTTCTTTAATCTACAAAACATCACTATAAGTCTTATTATAATTGTATCCTTCAGATTGTAGTATATGAAAGATAACACTGTGTACCTTAAAGTTAAAGTAATTATGAATATTAAATTATAGAATTTTTTTTTGGTCTTTTTGAGACAGGGTCTCCCTGTAGCCTCAGCTGACCTGGAACTCTGCTATGTAGACCAGGCTGGCCTTGAATTCACAGAGATCTGCTGCCTTTACCTCCCAAGAGCTTGGATTGGGATTAAAACCACCACACCTGGCAAACCATAGAAATTTTAAATACTGATTCCAAGTTTCGCCTACAGACAATCAGCTTATACCATGAAAAGTTCACTCAGCTGTCTAGTCCCAACCAGTAATGACTCTTCTTACTGTGATATTTATTATACTATGTCACTGTGACCAGAAGATGTGTAGTTTGTCAACTCTCATATGATAAACTATTGAACTTTAT